TGGTCGGATTCTAGATTTCACTGTCTTTATGATACGCCCATCTTTTGGCGAAAACCTGTATCACAATTTCATAAGGATAAACACATGCTTATATGGTCGGAATCGTACAATTATTATTTTTGTTGTTGTTGTTGTTGTTGTTGTTGTTGTTGTTGTTGTTGTTGTTATTTGTATTATACACAGAAATCGTACGGATTGACAATTTTCCAGATTTAGTAATCACGGGTCTGGGGTAATGTCGGGAGAAAATATTTAGACAAACAAGATTGTCAGGAAGAATGCGTTTCTAGACTAAACAGGTTTATTTACATGTCTAATTGTTTTGTTCTCATGTTGTCAACATCGTCATTGTCGAGAGTGAACCAGCGTCATGTTCAATAATGTTAGAACTATAAACAAGTATTTCTGTACACTGCCGCACTTTAAATTAGAAAAGCCCCACGGTGTCAACTTTTCTTAACACCCGCCTTCTACACACATGTCTGCAGCCGATATTCAAGCTCTTTCAAATCATTTAACCATTGTCGTGCATATTCAGTCGCGATGTAAACAGAGAGCTCACCTACCTTCCTTCTCAGCTGTTGTATCAACGTGATGGCGAGTCGGGTTATGCGCATGCGCAATTAGTTGACATCTGTCACATTTGCAAGCGTTCGCTGAGAAATCAATTGTTAGAAGCTATAAAGTTAACACACTATTTCTGTCAACTACAGCGGACTAGCTAGTTTGGTTTGGTAGACAAAAGCTTGATACATCATATCGGCAACAGAATTCATTATAACGTGCTGGTCAATAACAAGGGGGAGCCAGTGATTCATTTTGGCTGCTGTCATTATCGCTGTCGTGAGTCGGTGAGTAATCGCGTCTGAAGTTGTCTGAAATAAAGGAGGTTAATTACTTGAATGATCCGTTTGCCTGGTCCCGTGTTATAACTGGAATATTACTGACAGTGGCGTTTTACTCACTCACTCACTCACTCACTCACTCACTCACTCACTCGTGAAGATCCGGGGTGGAATAGGTCTTCAGCACCCCATGCTTGCCATAAAAGGCGACTATGCTTGTTGTAAGAGGCGACTAAGGGGATTGGATGGTCAGGTTCACTGACTTGGTTGATGCATGTCACCGTATCCTAATTGCGTAGATCGATGCTCATGATGTCAATCACTGGATTGTCTGGTCCAGACTCGATTATTTACAGACCGCCGTTGTAAAGCTGGAATATTGCTGAGTGCGACGTTAAACAACAAACAAAAACTCTCACTCACTCACTAACTCACGCAACCACCCAATCACCCACTCACTCACTCACTAACTCACGCAACCACCCAATCACCCACTCACTCACTCACTAACTCACGCAACCACCCAATCACCCACTCACTCACTCACTAACTTACGCAACCACCCAATCACCCACTCACTCACTCACTAACTCACGCAACCACCCAATCATCCACTCACTCACTCACTAACTCACGCAACCACCCAATCACCCACTCACTCACTCACTAACTCACGCAACCACCCAATCACCCACTCACTCACACACTAACTCACGCAACCACCCAATCACCCACCCACTCACACACTAACTCACGCAACCACCCAATCACCCACTCACTCACACACTAACTCACGCAACCACCCAATCACCCACTCACTCACTCACTAACTCACTCACGCAACCACCCAATCACCCACTCACTCACTCACTAACTCACGCAACCACCCAATCACCCACCCACTCACTCATTTACCCACTCACGCAACCACCCAATCACCCACTCACTCACTCACTCACTAACTCACGCAACCACCCAATCACCCACTCACTCACTCACTTACCCACTCACGCAACCACCCAATCACCCACCCACTCACACACTAACTCACCCAACCACGCAATCACCCACTCACTCACTCACTCACTAACTCACGCAACCACCCAATCACCCACTCACTCACTCACTTACCCACTCACGCAACCACCCAATCACCCACTCACTCACTCACTTACCCACTCACGCAACCACCCAATCACCCACTCACTCACTCACTAACTCACGCAACCACCCAATCACCCACTCACTCACTCACTTACCCACTCACGCAACCACCCAATCACCCACTCACTCACTCACTAACTCACGCAACCACCCACTCACTCACTCACTCACTCACTTACCCACTCACGCAACCACCCACTCACCCACCCACTCACGCAACCACCCACTCACTCACTCACTCACTCACTAACTCACGCAACCACCCAATCACCCACCCACTCACTCACTAACTCACGCAACCACCCAATCACCCACTCACTCACTCACTAACTCACGCAACCACCCACTCACTCACTCACTCACTCACTCACCCACTCACGCACTCACTCACTCACTAACTCACGCAACCACCCAATCACCCACCCACTCACTCACTCACTAACTCACGCAACCACCCAATCACCCACTCACTCACTCACTAACTCACGCAACCACCCAATCACCCACTCACTCACGAAACCACCCACTCACCCACTCACTCACTCACTTACCCATTCACGCAACCACCCAATCACCCACTCACTCACTCACTTACCCACTCACGCAATCACCCACCCACTCACTCACTCACTCACTTACCCACTCACGCAACCACCCAATCACCCACTCACTCACTCACTTACCCACTCACGCAACCACCCAATCACCCACTCACTCACTCACTCACTCACGCAACCACCCAATCACCCACTCACTCACGCAACCACCCAATCACCCACTCACTCACTCACGCAACCACCCAATCACCCACCCACTCACACACTAACTCACCCAACCACGCAATCACCCACTCACTCACTCACTCACTAACTCACGCAACCACCCAATCACCCACTCACTCACTCACTAACTCACGCAACCACCCACTCACTCACTCACTCACTCACTTACCCACTCACGCAACCACCCAATCACCCACCCACTCACGCAACCACCCACTCACTCACTCACTCACTCACTAACTCACGCAACCACCCAATCACCCACCCACTCACTCACTAACTCACGCAACCACCCAATCACCCACTCACTCACTCACTAACTCACGCAACCACCCACTCACTCACTCACTCACTCACTCACTCACCCACTCACGCACTCACTCACTCACTAACTCACGCAACCACCCAATCACCCACCCACTCACTCACTCACTAACTCACGCAACCACCCAATCACCCACTCACTCACTCACTAACTCACGCAACCACCCAATCACCCACTCACTCACGCAACCACCCACTCACCCACTCACTCACTCACTTACCCACTCACGCAACCACCCAATCACCCACTCACTCACTCACTTACCCACTCACGCAATCACCCACCCACTCACTCACTCACTCACTTACCCACTCACGCAACCACCCAATCACCCACTCACTCACTCACTTACCCACTCACGCAACCACCCACTCACTCACTTACACACTCACTCACTTACCCACTCACGCAATCACCCACCCACTCACTCACTCACTCACTTACCCACTCACGCAACCACCCAATCACCCACTCACTCACTCACTTACCCACTCACGCAATCACCCACCCACTCACTCACTCACTCACTTACCCACTCACGCAACCACCCAATCACCCACTCACTCACTCACTTACCCACTCACGCAACCACCCAATCACCCAATCACCCACTCACTCACTCACTTACCCACTCACGCAATCACCCACTCACTCACTCACCCACTCACGCACTATATCAACGCTGGCATATTGGGGGTCGGGACGTAAAACAACATTCACTCACCCAAATTTAGGCACAGCTGTCTCCCCTTCTATGATGCATATCTCTCTGTCTATCTGCACCCCACCTCGGTCACACAAGTGTGGGTTATACTTGCATCATCTGAATCCAGCATCCATAGCTTTACAAAGCCAGACATCTCTGGAATCAATATTCCCCGCATCCTCGTTCTGCCGGACCGATGGGTTCCAAAATCATCGTGACAAACTGTGACAACTTCCAGTCAGAAACAGGAATCAGTGGGCCGGACACATTATTTTGTCACCTACCTTTTCAGGGCACTCCGCAAATCAAATCAAATCAAATCGTTCCAGAACAATAGCGCATCGATTACAGGGCTGGGTTGTTTGTATTGTTTGTGCCTATACGAAACTGCCTGGAAGAGGAACCATTGATATGCAGTGTGGTAAGCCCGAACCAGATCGATACAGTGAAAGAATGGGCCGGGTTGGAATAGATCTTCAGCAACCCATGCTTGCTGTAAAAGGCGACTATGCTTGTCGTTAAAGGCGACTAACGGGATCGGGTGGTCAGGCTCGCTGACTTGGTTGATGCATGTCATCGTATCCCAATTACGTGGATCGATGCTCATGATGTCCATCACTGGTTTGTCTGGTTCTGCCTCGATTATTTACAGACCGCCGTCATATAGCTGGAATATTGCTGAGTGCTAAACAACAAACAAACAAAACAGTGAAAGAGTGACCGCATCAACCAAGTCAGCGAGCCTGACCACCCGATCCCGTTAGTCGCCTTTTACGACAAGCATAGTCACCTTTTACGGCAAGTATGGGTTGCTGAAGACCTATTCTACCCCGGAATCTTCACGGGTCGACCGCTATGTAGCGAGTGAGGGATTTAACACCGCTTTCAGCTGCATTGCAGTTGTACCACGACGTGTCAACATATGTGTGTGCGACTGAGCTGCTTTGAACACCGACTTGCTTTATGCATGTCATCGTATCCCAAGATCGATGCTCACGATCTCAATCACTTGATTTTCTGGTCCAGACTCGATAATTTCCAGACCGCCGTCATATAGCTGGAATATTGTTAAGTGCGGCGTTGAACAACATACAAACAAACACTCCTTCAACTGCGCATGGCCCCTTCATCCCACCCATCGGCTGGTTCAAATTTAACGGAAAACAACTAAATAAAAATTATTGCATCATACATTTTATTCAGTTTATGTGATTAAAATTATACGTTATCGCCTGCCAAAGGGACCCTTGTACATCTAACGTCTAGTCAATCGAGTCCATCACCAACGAGGGTCTGAAACCATAATATTACATATCAAGCCCAACTCCTTCAAATTAAAAATATTGTGCTCTTTGAATGTAAAATAAATAATACGGATTGTAGAATACAAGTATTGGACTGAAATATTGTCTATATCATGCATATGTAGGTTTTTAAGGCAGGTTGTGTCTTAATGACAGTGCAGAGCATCATATTTTAACTCATCTTCCCCAGGCAAGTGAGTTAACTGACTATAAAGCACAGTTTCTACCCTTGCCGAACTTGGCTGGTATTATGGAGTTATATTTTGGCTGGACTAACGAGTCTATGCGTAGTCCAATCAAAATCGCGCACCGAAATCGAAATCCGGTTCGTAAACTGTCATGCAGATTTCGTTGTCAACAGATATTTTCTAAATCTTTTCATATTTTTAATCAAGATGCTCACGTGATTTGATGCACTTCGCGATGTAATACTCGTTTTATCTCACTATAGATCTTCATTATCGATCAGATCGTCTTGACTGCGCGCCACCGTTTTGTTTGAAGCATATGCAAGTGATACGAGAGATGGAATCTGATTGGTCAATAGGAGAGGCATAGAAGGGACATAACTCGTAATAGCCACTGGTGGCGCTACGATCGAGCCCAGGAATTCCAGCCTAGTTCGGCAAGGGTGGAAACTGGACTTTTAAAGTCAGTTAACTGTCTTGCCTCGGGAAGATGTTGGCAGACATATTGGAAAAAAACCATAAGTTCGTATTTAAATTAAATTCAGGAGTATGTTGACATTTCATTCAATGCAAAAATGTAAAACTAAACATTGAAACATGTCAGTGAAATGTAGTCATGTCTACAAAACAATAACTCTAAAGAGTAACATCATCACTAGTGGCGATCTGAAGCAATTCCCTGCATGTGATGGTATTGGTCCACAACATACATTGTTTGTTAAACCTTATACAAATTGGTACTATGGTTTTTGCGTTAGGGGAGATCAAGGGTGTGTCTCCTTTGCTTACCCTGCTTCGCAGATGAAGGGATGGAGTGCCGTACAGTCACTGGCCCCCCACAGATACGTGGCCCCCATGAGCAGGGCACAGTTCAGCCCCCTGTTCACAGGGGGCTCTGTGTGTTGGTACCAGTGGGTGAAGGACATGTTCTGCCGAGCGGTCATCCACTGCCACTGACCCCTACTGGACAGGTCACTTCCCCCGATCCACAGCCTCTCGGTCTTCAAGCCTGGTAGGTATACAACATGCGCATACAGATGTTACAATGAGGTGAGGTGAAATGGGGTTTAACGTCGCGTCCAAGATTATTGCACTTATATAGCGACGTGCATGTACGTGTGTGTGTTTGTGTGGCTGCTTGTACTAATCCGGACTGATGCCGATTTTTAGTGCTAGCTCACTGAGATACCATAGAAGGTCCACTCGTTTGGTAAAAAAATGGTTTCTTCCGAGAATGAGAGAACGAAGCTGTGGGGGTAAAAGGGTCCAGGATATTTATCGTAAAAATGGAGATAAACTACCCTGGATAATCGAGGATACCAGAAGAAATTTGCATTGACCTGTATATAATGCATGTATCAACTGAAGAGGTAAAAGAGCCTTAACTGGTGTCGTGGAGTGATTTTAGTAATGCTTCAGATACTGAAGGACGCCTGTTGAGGCGTCAAGTCCGGATGTTTTTATGGTCGAAATTCTGCACATAAATCATTGAGTTGAAACGTGATCGTGTACATCACCATTGAAGATATGATTGTTACTATGCGTATATATTCCTTTAAAGGTGTCTTCGGTCTCAGGCCAATATCGACGTCATTGATAGCAATTATCTCTGTAGTTTATCCAGATTCCCGATGGTTAGCCTAATTCTGACTCGATCGCCGAATGACAAGGGCGACGCCATGTTGTTTATAAACAGTGAAAGTAGTCCCTACTTGACCTTTGATATTTGCATCTCTATCCGCATATGACCCCAACGGATTTCGTTTTTATCCGTTGGCTTTATCCTGCTGAGAAACCTACCTATTATATGATAAAATATCATATCATATCATATCATATCATATCATATCATGGACTTTCTTTATAATTCGCAGAAAGTGTTTGAAACAAGTGGAATTGATAACACGTGAAATCTCAAAAACTCATCGGATTTGCTTGTTTTTTTGCAATCTCAGAAAAAAATGTCCCTTAATTATGTCAAATCATTTGACTTTTCAACTTTGTATACCATGATCCCAACCGAAAAACTTGGTCAGCGGGGCATCTGTCACTCAACGTGGTGACCATTGATATAGTTGCATCTATATCTGCAACATTTCAGGGCAATTTGTCAAAAATGAAAGCAATGTCATCTGAAGTTAAATGATACAATATGTGAAATACTGGGCAATGGTAACATCCATGACATTAAGGGATCCCCATGGGCACCAATTGTGCTCCTATCGTTTCTGACATCTTTCTTTACGAATAGGAATAGGAATAGGAATTTCTTCTCGGGTTGCCAAAATCTAAACAAGAGAATTTGTCCAAGACGTAAACTCTAGGTATATCGATGATATATCGTGATATATCGTGACATATCGTGACATATCGTGATATATCGTGATATATCGTTCCACAGTCAAACAGCCAATACCCTTCCGCTGACTTACCCACCTGCACTCGAAATAAAAGAGACCAATGAGACAGCTTCATATGTTTCATATTTAGATGTGAGCTTAAAGATTTAGAGTGACAAAATATCCACAGACAGGATGACAAGAGGGATGATTATTAACTTTCCCTTTATGTGGAGAAATATTCCGGCAACTCAGATACAGGGCTGGTTAGTATACTCATCTGTGTGTTTAGCCCCTTAACGCCGAGCGCCAGACAGGGTAACAACAAGTACCATGGGGAATTATTCCAGCAGCTCAGATACAGGGCTGGTTAGTATACTCATCTGTGTGTTTAACCCCTTAACGCCGAGCGCCATACAGGGTAACAACAAGTACCATGGGGAAATATTCCAGCACCTCGGGTACAAGGCTAGTCAGTATGTTCACCTGTGTGTTTAACCCCTTAACGCCGAGTGCCAGACAGGGTAACAACAAGTACCATGGGGAAATATTCCAGCACCTCTGGCACAAGGCCAGTCAGTATATTCACCTGTGTGTTTAACCCCTTAACGCCGAGTGCCAGACAGGGTAACAACAAGTACCATGGGGAAATATTCCAGCACCTCTGGTACAAGGCCAGTCAGTATATTCACCTGTGTGTTTAACCCCTTAACGCCGAGTGCCAGACAGGGTAACAACAAGTACCATGGGGAAATATTCCAGCACCTCTGGTACAAGGCCAGTCAGTATATTCACCTGTGTGTTTAACCCCTTAACGCCGAGTGCCAGACAGGGTAACAACAAGTACCATGGGGAAATATTCCAGCACCTCTGGTACAAGGCCAGTCAGTATATTCACCTGTGTGTTTAACCCCTTAACGCCGAGCGCCAGACAGGGTAACAACAAGTACCATGGGGAAATATTCCAGCACCTCTGGTACAAGGCCAGTCAGTATATTCACCTGTGTGTTTAACCCCTTAACGCCGAGTGCCAGACAGGGTAACAACAAGTACCATGGGGAAATATTCCAGCACCTCTGGTACAAGGCCAGTCAGTATATTCACCTGTGTGTTTAACCCCTTAACGCCGAGCGCCAGACAGGGTAACAACAAGTACCATGGGGAAATATTCCAGCACCTCTGGTACAAGGCCAGTCAGTATATTCACCTGTGTGTTTAACCCCTTAACGCCGAGTGCCAGACAGGGTAACAACAAGCACCATGGGGAAATATTCCAGCACCTCTGGTACAAGGCCAGTCAGTATATTCACCTGTGTGTTTAACCCCTTAACGCCGAGCGCCAGACAGGGTAACAACAAGTACCATGGGGAAATATTCCAGCACCTCTGGTACAAGGCCAGTCAGTATATTCACCTGTTTGTTTAACCCCTTAACGCCGAGTGCCAGACAGGGTAACAACAAGTACCATGGGGAAATATTCCAGCACCTCTGGTTCAAGGCCAGTCAGTATATTCACCTGTGTGTTTAACCCCTTAACGCCGAGTGCCAGACAGGGTAACAACAAGTACCATGGGGAGATATTCCAGCAGCTCTGGTACAAGGCCAGTCAGTATATTCACCTGTGTGTTTAACCCCTTAACGCCGAGCGCCAGACAGGGTAACAACAAGTACCATGGGGAGATATTCCAGCAGCTCAGATACAGGGCTGGTTAGTATATTCACCTGTGTGTTTAGCCCCTTAACGCCGAGCGCCAGACAGGGTAACAACAAGTACCATGGGGAATTATTCCAGCAGCTCGGGTACAAGGCTAGTCAGTATATTCACCTGTGTGTTTAGCCCCTTAACGCCGAGCGCCAGACAGGGTAACAACAAGTACCATGGGGAGATATTCCAGCAGCTCAGATACAGGGCCAGTCAGTATATTCACCTGTGTGTTTAGGGCGGAGCAACCTCTCCAACTCCATCTGTTCCCCGCGAGAGTTGATGTCGACAAGGTGAGCCCTCATCGCGCCGCAGTGCATCTGCATAAAGAGATAGGTGTACCGTAAATCGCTGAATTAACGCGAGCATGACACATTCTATGCGATGATGTGAATGCCTCTTGCTCGCATTTCTGAACTGACACATTATTCGATATATTCTATGATTTGCAATACTTCCTAAAGTTACATAAAGTATGTTCATTACCACTTCATAATATACATTAATATATTTTGTATCTGTGTATATTGATGTATTGTACGGATACGTGTGTTTTATTGTACAGATACCTGCAGTACTATATGATGTAAAGTAAGTGCTATTTATTTAAATAAATTAAATTTTGTTTTATAAACGATCTTAGAATATCATTTCTGATATTTTGTTTTTGATTTTTAAAATATTTTTCTCTTACTTTTCTGTAAACATGCATTAAATACCTATTACAGATAACACATTTAGAATTTTACTTGTGCTGTCTTTGGACAAATCACTGATATCTGGCATGATCATACTAAGCGGTTGGTAGAATTATGTCCTCTTTTTGTCAAATTCGGACCTCCATACACAACTTTTCTCTGTACCGCGATACGATGGAGTTCTCTCTCTTGTCAAACTGAGCGCGAGGCCCGGCTTTTACTCGGAGCTACTAATGTAAATAATGAACTTTTATCAGTAAAATATGCATTGTTAGATCAAATAAATGACATCTGATATAGAGAACACGAATAATCATAAAGGTTAGTGAGTGCATTTTGTTCCGTTCCGCATTCATGACAAATACCGCGATACCCCGAGGTTGCAGGCTATATATATATATATATATATATTATTTCATTGTTGCAGGGGGCGATGGGGTAGCCTAGTGGTTAAAGCGTTCGCCGAAGGCCCGGGTTCGTTTCCCCACATGGGTACAATGTGCGAAGCCCATTTCTGGTGTCCCCCGCCGTGATATTACGGTAATATTGCTAAAAGCGGCGTAAATCCATACTCACTCACTCACTCATTATTTAAGACTGACCTACGTATACACGCTTACCTACAATATAAAAATACACGTCATCAGCCTCACCCCCACAGCTGTTTGTGATTATTTAGATAGTATATCGGCTACAACTATCGGCCACCACAAGCACCGTTACACGGACATACTGGTACACACTAGGTTCGGTGCAAACAAATGTGTAGATCAAGTAAAGCATCAAGCTATTAGGACGTCAACGCCAGAGAATAAGATGTCAGATTCCTCCGGGCGTAAGCTGCACAATAGTGGTGATAGTTATAGGACTGGTTCACTGAGAACCTGTGATGACACCAGGTGTTCGTGAATAGGGTAAAGTGAGTGAGTGAGTGAGTGAGTTGGGTTTAACGCCGCTCTTAACAGTATTCCAGTTATATCACGGCGTGCCGGCTTAATGTGGGAGGAAAGCCCGAAGTGATGCAGGTCTCAGACGTTTACCACTTCGTTGAAACCCACGAGCACGGGTATGGTGCTGACAAACCTAGAAACATAATCGGGGCGAACCGGGATTCGAACCCACAATTATAGGTTTCTGGTGTGCCCAAGGGACGCAACTCTGCACAGCGAATCGCGGAGCCTTAGACGACTGGGCCAACCGTGCCCCCGATAAGGGTAAAGCTTGTCCTGGCCTGCTGGTAGCACCCGCCACTCACGGAAGTGCCATTAAAGTATGTGTTTGGTGCCCTACGACGCAGAGCAGAACTCCCGCCATTTGACGGCGGCCTGCACGCAATCGTACTCAGTGCTTGTGTTGTGTGTCCACCTCGGTGTGGTCCCAGGTTCTTTACAATTGAAACAGATATGACTGTTCCAGATATAAACTTTGGACAAACACAACCCTTTCCACGTGCACACCTGCACATAAAGCATGTACAATGTGATTGTCATCAATACGGTACACCTACAGATATAGATGTATGGACTCCTACAGATACATAGGTACACCTACATATATAGATGTATGGACTCCTACAGATACATAGGTACACCTACAGATATAGATGTATGGACTCCTACAGATACATGGGTTCACCTACGTACTGTACACCCGCATATACACCCACAGATGCACCAACAATTGCACCTTGAGACACATTAAACCACTACCCCCAACCCCCCTACACCCATCCCCTCTTGGGGATTCTGGGTTAGAAATGGTCCCTAGCAACCGACCCTTGTCATACGATGCGACTTAATGGATCGGGTGTTTAGGCCCGTATCCCAAAGGGGCGAATTGTTGCTCGTAATATCAATCACTGGCTTGTCAGGTACAGACACAACTATTTACAGGTCATCGTCATATCGCTAAAATTTTACAGCGTTAAACTAACGTCCACAAAACAACGTTTACACCTACCAGAGCGTTGATCCAGTTGACCTTGAGCAGGACGACCTTGTAACACATGAACGTGCCCGACTCCCAGTCCGGGGGACACATGACCATGGACCTCGACCCCCTGTCCCTCCCTCCGTCAGCGCTGTTATGATCTGTGAAGAGACAGGGTTTTTTTACTGGATCTGTCCGAGAGGCCATGAGGGGTATGTTGGATAACACACTTCCACAGGGTGATGTCACAGGTTACAATCCTCCAAGCTGTCTCATGCTATCAGTTGAGACTCTTGAATTATCACAATGTACATGAGAAAATTTAGATCATACCTCGTCTTCCTTGCGTCCCTTAACATATATATACTATATATATTTTACCAAATAACCGACCCGTTAAGATCCGGGGTAGAATAGGTCTTCGGCAACCCATGCTTGCCGTAAATTGCGACTATGCTTGTGTTAGGGGCGACTAACGAGATCGGGTGGTCAGGCTCGCTGACTTGGTTGATGCATGTCATCGTATCCCAATTGCGTGGATCGATGCTCATGATGTCAATCACTGGATTGTCTGGTCCAGACTCGATTATTTACAAACCGCCGTCATATAGCTGGAATATTGCTGAGTGCGGCGATAAACAACAAACAGACAAACAAACAAAACAAAATTACCGCTTTTGAAGACTTATTTGAAACGCAAGTAGCATTACTCTTTTCACAGAACCACTGCAGATCAAATCATCTGAGGAAGAGATGTATCCTTTCGACGTGACAGGAATTATGTTCGAGGTTTGGAATCCCAGATCGAATTTGTTTCGAGGTCTGTCCGCATCATACCCGTGACTTTACCCAAAGTAGTAAAAGTCTGAGATCTGCATCTATCTTGGCTTTCCTTCAACATCAAGCTGACTTGCTATGTAACAGAAGTACTGTTCAAAGCGGTATTAAACCAAACGCACTCACTAACCCGTGAAGATCCCGCTTAGAATAGGTCTTCAGAAAGCGTCACAGGCGACTAAGCTTGAGAGGCGACTAAGGGGATCGGGTGGTCAGGCTTGACGAATCTCATCGTATCCCAATTGCGTAGATCGATGCTCATGATCTCCATCACTAAATTGTCAGGCCATGACTCGATTATTTACAGGCCGCCATCCTAAAGCTGGAATATTGCTGAGAGCGGCGTTAAACAACAAACAAACAAACAACCTCTCATTAACTCATGCAGTCTACGTACCTCGGCTCGCCGTGACGGCAAGTAGTCCACACAAGACAACAAGGGACGTTCGAGGCATCGTGATTCAAGACTCTCCCAGCAGGACTATCCCTTGAAATGAATATTTCAAAGCCGAGATCTGTGTGGCAATCATTGCCCTATTGTTAATCAAAATTGTATCTTTGTATGAAGTTACTGCATTTTGGTGCTTTATTATTGGCCTTTCAATGAAATGAAGCGAGGTAATAAGATGGGCGGAAGGACGACTGGCGAAAAACATCCTTTCATAAAACGTTTATTGCCCCAGAACCGCCATTAACAAAACAATATGTTTGAATATAGCTTTCATTTAACACCTTAAGCAGTTTGGATGCAATGATAGGAATTGATTTACACTACAATGTGTATTTGAGGTTAACCCTTTCATTACTGGGCTGTTTTCGTTACATTTATTCGTTTCTATTTCGGTCAGCATACATTGGTCAAATATCTTTGTCACGAGAAAAGATACATCGCTCAAACATCTTTATCACAAGCAATGACGCATCGGTCAAATATTTTTGACACGAGCAAAGATGCATAAGTGAAATATATTTGTCGCCAACAAAGATGCATCGGTGAAATATTTTTGTCACGAGCAAAGTAACGTTGTTCACTACACGCCTTGTTATTCGTGGAACTAGAATAGTTGGGCTTTGCTCTAACACAGACCGGGGACTCGTGAAAGTATTTTGTTAGGATTATACGGAACTGTTACGAGAACAATAAAGAACAATATTTCGGTCAGCATACATTGGTCAAATATCTTTGTCACGAGAAAAGATACATCGCTCAAACATCTTTATCACAAGCAATGACGCATCGGTCAAATATTTTTGACACGAGCAAAGATGCATAAGTAAAATATATTTGTCGCCAACAAAGATGCATCGGTGAAATATTTTTGTCACGAGCAAAGTAACGTTGTTCACTACACGCCTTGTTATTCGTGGAACTAGAATAGTTGGGCTTTGCTCTAAGACAGACCGGGGACTCGTGAAAGTATTTTGTTAGGATTATACGGAACTGTTACGAGAACAATAAAGCTGGGATTAGCCGCTCCCGTTGTTCTCGCAGCTGTACCTTTATATTCCAATAAAATAATGCCATTCTATCTATGACTAAGTGGGGAGGGGTAGCCTCGTGGTATGTTTGTTGTTTTACGCCGCACTCAGCAATATTCCAGCTATATGGCGGCGGACTGTAAATAATCGAGTCATGGCCAGACAGTTTAGTGATAGAGATCATGAACATCGATCCAAGTAATTGGGATCGATGGCTTGCTTCAACCAAGTCAGCGAGCCTTATCATCCGATCCCGTTAGTCGCCTCCGAGTGGTCGACAAGTGGTGTGTGTGTGTGTGTGTGTGTCTGTGTCTGTGTCTTTCCGCTGTCTGTCTGTCTGTCTGTTGTGTCCCTTAGTTGTTGACACTGTTCGTGTCCTTGAGTTGCTGACACTGATCGTGTTCCTGAGTTGCTGACACTGATCGTGTTCCTGAGTTGTTGACACTGTTCGTGTCCCGGAGTTGCTGACACTGTTCGTGTTCCTGAGATGCTGACACTGTTGGTGTTCCTGAGTTTGTGACACTGTTCGTGTCCCTGAGTTGCTTACACTGATCGTGTTCCTGAGTTGCTGACACTGATCGTGTTCCTGAGTTGTTGACACTGTTCGTGTCCCGGAGTTGCTGACACTGTTCGTGTTCCTGAGATGCTGACACTGTTGGTGTTCCTGAGTTTGTGACACTGTTCGTGTCCCTGAGTTGCTTACACTGATCGTGTTCCTGAGTTGCAGACACTGATCGTGTTCCTGAGTTGTTGACACTGATCGTGTTCCTGAGTTGTTGACACTGTTGGTGTCCCTGAGTTGCAGACACTGTTCGTGTTCCTGAGTTAATGACACAGTTCGTGTTCCTGAGTTTCTGACACAGTTCGTGTTCCTGAATTGTTGACACAGTTCGTGTCCCTGAGTTTCTGACACAGTTCGTGTTCCTGACACTGATCGTGTCCCTGAGTTGTTGACACTGTTCGTGTTCCTGAGTTGCAGACACTGATCGTGTTCCTGAGTTGTTGACACTGATCGTGTCCCTGAGTTGTTGACACAGTTCGTGTTCCTGAGTTTCTGACACTGGTCGTGTCCCTGAGTTGTTGACACTGTTCGTGTTCCTGAGTTGCAGACACTGTTCGTGTTCCTGAGTTGCAGACACTGATCGTGTCCCTGAGTTGTTGACACTGTTGGTGTCCCTGAGTTTCTGACACTGTTCGTGTCCCTCAGTTAATGACACTGTTCGTGTCCCTGAGTTGCTGACACTGTTCGTGTCCCTGAGTTGCAGACACAGATCGTGTCCCTGAATTGTTGAAACTGTTCGTGTTCCTGAGTTTCTGACACAGTTCGTGTTCCTGACACTGATCGTGTCCCTGAGTTGTTGACACTGTTCGTGTCCTTGAGTTTCTGACACTGTTCGTGTTCCTGAATTGTTGACACTGTTCGTGTCCCGGAGTTTCTGACACAGTTCGTGTTCCTGAGTTTCTGACACAGTTCGTGTTCCTGAATTGTTGACACAGTTCGTGTCCCTGAGTTTCTGACACAGTTCGTGTTCCTGACACTGATCGTGTCCCTGAGTTGCAGACACTGATCGTGTTCCTGAGTTGCAGACACTGATCGTGTTCCTGAGTTTCTGACACTGTTCGTGTTCCTGAATTGTTGAAGCTGTTCGTGTCCCTGAGTTTCTGACACAGTTCGTGTCCCTGAGTTTCTGACACAGTTCGTGTTCCTGACACTGGTCGTGTCCCTGAGTTGTTGATACTGTTCGTGTCCCTGAGTTTCTGACACTGTTCGTGTCCCTGAGTTGTTGACACAGTTCGTGTTCCTGACACTGATCGTGTCCCTGAGTTGTTGACACAGTTCGTGTTCCTGAGTTGCTGACTCTGTTCGTGTTCCTGAGTCGCCTCAGTCTCCTGCCAACATGTATCCCAGATGGGTCTTGCTGGGTGCTGGCCTGGTCTGTTTGGTAATGACCACAGCTGCACAAAGCAGGCTCATGAATGCTACTGTATGACACCTTTACTTGCACCTCGTGGTCATGCCGTTATTATAACGCAGAAAGGCTAAAAGGAAACAAATATTTCTACATCATGGGATGTTTTGTGATGATCTATGCGGTTGACGCTACAGAAAGACCTGGACCTGCATCTCCATGCACGACATCAGCTGCATCCACACCTGTGATGCATCTATTGATATGTGTTTTCATGCTGTGACAGTGTCCAAGCCGGACATAATCAGGATCTGCAAGATGGAAAACATCACAGGACCACTTCCACGGAATTCCTGCGACTGGGTTGAAAACGGGTTTAACCTACATTTTTTTCTCCGTTGTGTTTCGTCCTATGTGAGTATGCATCATTTGAAAAAGACGGAGACTGTTTTAAGGATGTGGGGAAAAAGATGACCCGGTCATTTAATGTGCTACATAGCGCTGTGCAGATTTGCGTCCCTTGGGCACGCCAGAAACCTTTGATTATGGATTCTAAACCGGTCCGCCCCGATTATGTTTCTAGGTTTGTCAGCACCGTACTCGTGCAAGTGGGTATAAGAAACGCGGTAAACGTCCAAGAAAAGCATCACTTCGGGCGTTCCTCCCGCATTAAGCTGACACGCCGTCATATAACTGTAATACTGTTTAAAATGACGTTAAACATAATTCACTGATTCACATTAAAGGATGTTAACGCACAGTTCTCACGTGATTTGTTCAACTCATTGCAACGCTTTTAATCGTGGTGGTATCGTTCCCTGCTAACTCGTCTACCCGGAGAACCGTCAAACCAAACGTCGATAAACGATGGCACTTGATGTTTCCCTGCCTGGTGATATGGGGATGAAGCAAGGACTTGCCGGCTCGGGGTCAAAACATGTCTGAGTGGTGTTAAAACTGCCGGATGGTATGTCAATGGGAATGCAGACATACCGTCATTTGTACGGACATGCAACCACACACACACACACACACACACACACACACACACACACACACACACACACACACACACACACACACACACACACACACACACTATAAGTGTGTGGGACCGCCTCCGTGGTCTAGTGGTAGAGCGTCCGCCCGGAGAGCGGAAGGTCCGGGGTTCGATCCCCGACCGCGTCATACCAAAAGACGTTAAAAGATGGTACTCGTTGTTACCCTGTCTGGCGCTCGGCATTAAGGGGCTAGAACAAGGACTGGTCGGCTCGGAGTCAGTATACTGTGTCTGAGTGGGTATTCATGTTAAACTGCGGCATGGTATCTCAGTGGGCTAGCACTATAAATCGGCATCAGTCCGGACTAGTACAAACAGCCACACACACATACATGCACGTCGCTATATAAGTGCAATAATTTTGGACGCGACGTTAAACCCCATTTCACCTCACCTCACCTACTATGAGTGTAATAAACGGAGTCGGACTGTAGAGCATCGTGTTTGCTGCTGAAGACAATGGATCACTCGGCACTGGTAGCGGAGCATCCTCCTACCCAGAGTTAAATGCTAAATGCAATATTAATTCCTAATACAATTTATTAACCATCCCAAATACTCACTCACGTAATAACCTCTATTTATCACTATAAAATCGATAATTCGTTCGTGTCGGATTTTTTTCTGTCTGCCTGATTAACACCATGGTGTGAGAAAATACGCTCTAAATAGATCGTTTGGCTTTTCTCAGCAAATAACAATTTCATCTCGTCTCATAAAATATTTGGCATAAATAAGAAAATGCACCTTTCTCAGCGCACTCTCTTTTATTTGTAAAGGAAAATCAGTAGTCTCCATAGGAGCAAGGATATCAGTGCAATTATTGTCGGTACTTCTCACTGAGGTTAATGTTTCTCACGTCATGTTGCGGAGCTAGCTCACCTCAGTTGTGCCATTGTTTTCATTGTTTAGGGAGCAGCCCAAAGCGTCAACGCACTGTCGCAAATAATTACAAATGACACATTCATTGGTCATGACGTCTTAGCGAGTGAGTATGGTTTTACGCCGCTTTTAGCAATATTCCAGCAATATCACTGCGAGGGACATGACGCACCATCGTGGAGGTAGTATAAGGGTTGGGATGAGCGCCTTGTGTCGTCCCTGTTCCTTCCAACTGATGTTCGTGTTCAGGACGAGGCTCTGGTGCCGTTTGGACGAATCTAGTGCTGTCAAGTTTTCCCAACTCTGCACGGACCCCGACAGGAACTGAAAGCATTGGGTGAGTGAGTATGGTTTTACGCCGCTTTTAGCGATATTCCTGCAAAATTACGGCGGATAAACCAGAACTGAGATTCACACAGTGCAACCATGTGGGGAATCGAACTGAGTCTTTGGCGTGACGAGCGAACGCTTTAACCACTAGACAACCCAAGCGCCTCTTTATGTCGCCTCAGACGGTACTATATCGCGTCGTTTCCACAATACATTAACTGAACTTGTGTCTCCACTTGTGTTCCGGACACCAACTCTTCTTACAGTAAGAAATGTGTGAAGCCCATTTCTGGTGTCCCCCGCCGTGATATTGCTGGAATATTGCTAAAAGCGGCGTAAAACCATACTCATTCGCTCACTCACTTACAGTAAGAAAAGACTCAATGAACTTTGGAAATGTGCGTCATAGAAACTCATTTGCACGAAAATCGTCAATGTGTGATGAGATATTGGCGGCACAGGACCGGGAATATTTTATGTGCGCATCATTCATTATTGTTTCCCACAACAAGGCCAATACTTGGGTACGAGTAATCCAGTTTATGAGGTACGAATGGGTACGGGTTATCCAGTTTATGAGGTACGAGTGGGTACGGGTTATTCAACATTTGGGTACGAGTCATCCAGTTTATGAGGTACGAGTGGGTACGGGTTATCCAGTTTATGAGGTACGAGTGGGTACGGGTCATCCAGTTTATGAGGTACGAGTGGGTACGGGTTATCCAGTTTATGAGGTACGAGTGGGTACGGGTCATACGGTTTATGAGGTACGAGTGGGTACGGGTTATCCAGTTTATGAGGTACGAGTGGGTACGGATTATCCAGTTTATGAGGTACGAGTGGGTACAGGTTATACAGTTTATGAGGTACGAGTGGGTACGGATTATCCAGTTAATGAGGTACGAGTGGGTACGGATTATCCAGCTTATGAGGTACGAGTGGGTACAGGTTATCCAGTTTATGAGGTACGAGTGGGTACGGATTATCCAGTTTATGAGGTACGAGTGGGCACGGATTATCCAGATTATGAGGTACGAGTGGGTACGGGTTATCCAGTTTATGAGGTACATGGGGGTACGGGTTATTCAACATTTGGGTACGAGTCATCCAGTTTAAGAGGTACGAGTTGGTACGGGTTAACCAGTTTATGAGGTACGAGTGGGTACGAGTCATCCAGTTTATGAGGTACGAGTGGGTACGAGTCATCCAGTTTATGAGGTACGAGTGGGTACAGGTTATCCAACATATATGTACGAGTCCGCCAAGAACGTCTGGGTATACGGATGCCCGTGGGGACGGATTGTCCAGTTCCCGGAGATGACATGCCTCTTCCTGACGCTTACGGGACTAGGTTACCGGCAGTGTTTGTCAGTCGCGGTAGATAGATCGATCAAGCCGTTAATGATTGCTCTTAATACAGGGACGATGTCTCAATTCACGCGGGTCACTAACAAAGTCAAAACATCGACCAGTAATGGTCAGCAGGAAGGATGGTCCCCCAACCCATAAACACCTCCTTCCTCTACAAATATAAATACGAACGGTTCCAAACAGTACAATAGTTCCTCCGTGAAATTGATTTAAAAAGCGATTAAGCTGTAACAATCACCAGTTAATGCAACCTCCATTAGTCCAATAATATAAATACGCCTGAGATGCCAGTAGATTGTGGACAGACACTTCGAGAAAGGCATCATATTATCAAGGATTCCTTTTCCGTTTCCTTTTGATTGTAACGTTTTTACTTACCCAACCCCGGAAGTAACTTGCACGGTTATAACCAGGATCGATCAAACAGTGAGAAACTACGTTTGTTTTTGTGAATTGTATAGATTGGAGATACATTGACTTGTTCTGCTTATGGTAAGTAGATCACACACGTGTGAATGTGGGTTATGGGAACTGTTATATTTCCGTAAAATTCATATCCACCAGGTCCACGCTTTGTCACGTCACATTTGTCAGAATGCCGTGTGGGTCAAGAGCGATAGGCCTGTAACAACGGGTTAATTATAACAGTATGTGTTGTGCGTGATTATTGTACCGGGACAATAGGGAAGATTGTTGGACTTGCTACATTGGCCAGCAGCGAGTTATTTATTCACCGAATTTTACCGAGTTATTGGGTCATTGACATAAACCGATCTGTTGTCATACGTACTCCTCGAGAATGAAAAATGGCCCCCAAACAAAATTACCCTTATATGTTTTCTTGAATATTACCCAATTCACCTGGGGGAATATGTGTCCCATATGTTTTGGAATGATGATTCCTTTTTATTAGATCTAATCCCTATCCCTATTTATATAAATGTTGGTGTTACACATAAATCATTGTTATGGCTACTGCTCTGTTTTTACTTTCCGGATTCTGGATAGGCCTAACTGGGTTTCACTCATTCGTAACATTCTAAGAAGATCTGAATCTTATTTTGCATGGACCAGAGTGCACATCAGATTTTCAGTGATATGTTTATGCCCCATGCTCCCAAACTATTTAAGTACACCAAATATTTCAATTACGAATGTGAACCAGTTCTTTTTTTTTAAACATGTCAAGTTTTTTGCTTCGGCTGCCGTTTCTGTTTAAGGATGCAGCAACACTGAGAAAATTGATCCACTTCATGTTTGTATGTTGATAGCTTTTGACAAAATACATTTTCAATTTGAGCATATATTGTTAAATATCCTATTTTCGAACGACACCTATTTTTGAACAAAAGTGTTTGATAGTGATTAGTCGCTAAATAAAATGTTCGAAAATAGGGTATGTCAGGATATTGGTGTACTTAGATAAATCATTTTGGAACTAGGGATCAGTGTATGAAACTGCCCAATTAATCTTACCAGACCAGTGCACGGCTCAAGCAACTGGTCCAGGTATGGTCTGAAGCCTGAGTCTAGTAAAATCCTGATTGGTCTAGTAACATGAGCTAATAAAATAAAACACCACTTGATAACACTAACATTTACTGAAAATGATGCTAAGAACCGTGTTTGGACAGGTGTACGAGAAAATATGACAACATAAATCTGAGTTTAGCTCACAGTTTCTGTATATTGTTTTGTACCCAGGGTATATTTCTATGGTAAACCAACCGAGAGTTAACCTATCAGCCATGCTTTATGGAAGTCTCGTCTGACAGAGTCAAGGTCAAACACACATCTTACAGAGAAACTCATCTTAACGGTGGTGTATGCAGTATACGCCCAGGACAAACTGGGAGAAAATGTAATGTTGTTCAAAGTCAGAAATGTCTTGAATAATGTTGTGTTTTAATAATTAATCAATGCAAAAATGTTAAACTACACATTAAAGTTTCTTCTTCTTGTGTATGGAGCCTGTTGTCAGGGAAATACTAGCCATCTCAACATTTATAGTAACAATTCTTGGCAAATTTTTATTTCCAGCTTGAGGATTTTTCCCTAAAATTTGCTTCAAACTCAGGGCTAAATATCAGTCACTGAGCAGGTCTAGATGAATCCCTGGAAGTTTCTGGATATCATATCAAACTATCGACGCACAGTAATTTTTCCATGGCCTGGTGCCAGTACATCACTGTTCTGATATTGGTGTATACAATGGTATATATGAGGGAGTGGCCACTTGCCTCATTGCAGTTGTGTTGGATGTACGCTATGTGTCACATCCAGAGGGCTGCAGATCAGATTCATCTCTGTTGATGCCAGAAAAGGTAAGAATTGTCTTTAATCATGTTAATTACTTTGAACATTCTGTCAAAACTGAGATGTTGTTTTCCCCATGGTCAGATCAGATTGAAGACCGATAGGAGATTATATTTACATCTCGATCGTTAGTTCATAAATAGATAATTAGCCAAGTGTTTTTCCATATTGTAAAAATATTATTAGGAATATAACTTGTATATGCCAACTTTTGGTGCGCACGATACATAATTTTTGTACTCCCCACCTGAAAGGGCTGTCTGTTCTTCCGAGGACATTTTTTTGTGCAAACCTGTAACTTGAAGACTACCTCCTAGATTCTTTTCAAACTTGGTGAACACTTTCTATACTGGTAGGAGAGACTCAGTGCGAAGTTTGATTTTAATATTTGGATTTTCTGAAAAAAATACAGCTAGTTTTCATTTTTTGGACTTTTTTACTCAATCATTTGTGTGACCTATAACCATGATAACTGAAAATTTTCACATTTAGGAAACAGTTTCTATACTTATAGGCATGATAGGAGATGTGCAGTGCAAAGTTTAATTTCAATATGTGTATTTTCTGAAAAGATATGATTTTTTTCATGTTTTGAAAAAGTATATTTTTTACTTAAAATTTGTGTGACCTATAACTTAAAACCAATTCATTCATTCTTTTCCAATTGTGGGTACAGTTTTATTCCTATTGGAGAGGTACAGTGCAAAGTTTGATTTCAAGAAGTGGATTTTCTGAGAAAATATTGCTTTTTCTCATGTACTTGAAAATATGTTGGAGTCGAGGTCAGGGGTAATATTAGTGAGGCCTGCTCACTTTTTCCCTTGTTTATTCCTGATATGATATTCACGTTGCAGAAACACACAAGAGCAATAATCAATGATAATCTCTTCATTATGTCATTGTTAACAACATGGTTAAAATCCTTTCCAAAATGATTCAGCTTCAATTTTTCACCACCTTGATTTGTAAATTTCAATTTGTACCAATAAAACTCACACAGAACAGAAATATTTCTTCAATGGTACTCCCTTGACAGCGCTCAGAAACAACTAGATGTAGGAAGCCTCCCAAACTAATAATAATGCCGACCCGTGAAGATCCGGGATAGAATAGGTCTTCAGAAACCCATGCTTCCCGTAAAAGGCGACTATGCTTGTCGTAAGAGGTGACTAACGGGATCGGGTGGTCAGGCTCGCTGACATGGTGGATTGATGCTCATGGTGTCAATCACTGGATTGTCTGGTCAAGACTCGATTATTTACAGACCGCTGTCATATATCTGGAATATTGCTGAGTGTGGCGTTAAACAACAAACAAACAAACAAACATTTGTTTTATTGCTTACATCATCGTTTGAAAAGCGTATTGCAGTACACCTGTAATCCCATTCAGTACTGATGTTTACCTCAGCACTACAGATTATGGCTGAAACTTGGACTCATCTACAAAAGACATGTAAAGATACAATACAATGATGCTGTATAATATCCTAATGCCTATGTTTTGCTAATGGCGCCTCTATCTTCCATTTCAGATGGCCAGGACGTAATGTCTTTGAAAGAGACAAAGCTTTCCCTTGCACAGACACCTTATCATCGGAAGAACTGGGGCTAGCTAAAAAGATTGATAATGAGTATTATCGTCAACGGGAAGAAAAATTAACGATTATCAATATGGAATTGTTGTCATCGATAAAACCACAGACGTATATACAATACGTCTTTGATAAAACCTATTGTGATGAAATAAAGTTTAGATTGACCAAAACAGCCGTGTTATTGTCACTAATTGTCTAAGACGGAAAGCAACTGTTTTTCTTATATCTCAAATGTCCACAAGGTATTTCCATGCATATATGTGTCACTGCTCAATGTGTTGATTTCTTTCAGGACTTTCTTGCACATTTGCTAAAAGTTTCTTCTCCAATATTTATCGATAATTGATCAATATTTAGTTAGCGATTATCAATCTCTATCATCTATATCGATAGCCAGCACTATTATGAACATATGTACATGTCAAGCAATGATATTCATACACATATCAACTGGAAGTACATATGGACAGACCCATGAAGATCCGGGGTAGAATAGGTCTTCAACAACCCATGCTTGCCGTAACAGGCGACTATGCTTGTCATAAGAGGCGACTAACGGGATCGAGTGGTCAGACTCACTGAGCTGGTTGATGCATGTCATCATATCCCAATTGCGTGGATCGATACTCATGATGTCAATCACTGGATTGTCTGGTCGAGACTCGATTATTTACAGACTTCTGTCATATAGCTGGAATATTGCTGAGTGCGGCGTTAAACAACAAACAAACAGAACAAATTACAGTATGACAAATACGAACCTGGTCACAGTTAATTTTGCATTTGAGCATAGTTCAAGCTTCTGAAATGTTTGGAGACACTTAACTTCAGTTTACTTATTTAACAACCAAAGCCAAATGGAACAATCAGAAAATATTTTTTTTAAATAGTTTCTATTTGTTTTGGGGCTTCGATAAGAAAATGAAAACTAAAGACATGAAACATGACAGTTACTTTTTAAATAATCGATCAAATTAACGGCGGCTTTTCTGTTATCCCCATCAATGCCTATTATGCGAACACCACATGAACACCTAATTATGAGGACACCTTGTAAACACCTTGTAAGAACACTGTGAACACCTAATTATGAGGACACCCTGTAAACACCTTGCAAGAACACTGTGAACACCTATAGAGGACACCCTGTAAACACCTTGTAAGAACACTGTGAACACCTTATTATGAGGACACCCTGTAAACACCTTGCAAGAACACTGTGAACACCTATAGAGGACACCCTGTAAACACCTTGCAAGAACACTGTGAACACCTATAGAGGACACCCTGTTAACACCTTGCAAGAACACTGTGAACACCTATAGAGGACACCCTGTAAACACCTTGCAAGAACACTGTGAACACCTATAGAGGACACCCTGTAAACACCTTGCAAGAACACTGTGAACACCTATAGAGGACACCCTGTAAACACCTTGCAAGAACACTGTGAACACCTAATTATGAGGACACCCTGTAAACACCTTGCAAGAACACTGTGAACACCTATAGAGGACACCCTGTAAACACCTTGTAAGAACACTGTGAACACCTTATTATGAGGACACCCTGTAAACACCTTGCAAGAACACTGTGAACACCTATAGAGGACACCCTGTAAACACCTTGTAAGAACACTGTGAACACCTAATGAGAACCATTTTGTTTTTAATTAAACAATTACCAATTAGTTTGAATTTAAAACAATTACCATTTAGTTTGTAGTTAAGACATGACCATTTGGTTTGTAATTAAAACAATTACTATTTAGTTTGTAATTAGAATAATTACCATTTAGTTTATAATTAGAATAATTAAAAAGTGCTTTGTATTTAAGACAATTAGCCTTTAGTTTTTATTAAAACAATTACCTCTTAGTTTGTAATTAAAACAATGACCATTTAGTTTTTTGTACTAAACCAACATCCTCTATGTCCAGGGCTAGCATTTCGGTAAACCCACACTAACCCTGAATCCATTTCCGTGGTTCTCGCAAATTCATCATCAAAAAACTGACTGGCATGCAAGAGAAAACCCTCCATGGGCTCAAAAATGTTTTGGATGGAAAGGAAATCTTCATGTCCATTAAAACTGCTGGTGTTTCTGGTTTTCAGGTAATAAGAGTTACCTCCCTTACCCTTATGTCAACATTTGATTGGTCGGTAAAATGTTAATGAAAATCAAGGGCGGGTAATTTGCGATCACAAGAACCACAGGATTGGATCCAGGGGTTAGTGGAGGTTTATGGAAATGCTAGCTCTGGAGATACTGAGGATGCTAAACCAACTGACCAAACAGCTTTATTTCAAATAAGAATGTTTTTTGCTTTTATGTATTTTATCATGTCTCAACCCCAATGACTGTTTCAGCCATACTGCCACTGTGAGACAAGATGGGCTTCCCTGAAGACGAGCACACAAAGACTATCAGGCGAGGACTTAGCGGCCTACTCAATAACGAGAAATTTTCGGATGTCATCGTTACAGTTGCAGGCCGAGAGTTCAAATGCCACAAATTCATTTTGTCTCTGTTCTCATGTTACTTCGAGGCAATGTTCACATCAGGGATGCGAGAAAGTATTGAGAATCGTGTGAATCTACCGGATGTGAACGCCGATGTGTTCTACAGGATCCTTCTGTTCATGTACCAGTGTGAGGACATCGTGGACATGGACACGGCCCAGGACGTCCTCCTGGTGGCGTCCCGTCTCCAGATCAAGTGTCTCCAGGACTACTGTGAGAAGTTCCTGTCTAAGAAGATCGGAGTCAACAACTGCATCTCCCTCTGGAGGATGTCAAAGATGCATAACTTCCAGAAAATGAACACCACAGCGTTCGAAACCATTTGTCGATCATTCCAGGAGCTTGTGTCGTCTGAGTCCTTTAATGACTTGACGCCCGATGAACTGAAGATCATCATTGAAAGTGACCAGCTCATCATTTGTGGAGAAGAGGCTGTGGCTGATGCTGTGTTGAGCTGGGTCGAGGCGGACCACGGCAACAACAAATGGCGGAAAACTCAGCTCTCGTATTTGTTGGAGGTTGTGCGTTTGCCCTTGACGACCCCTGAGTACCTTCGACACAAAGTGGAGCAGAATGATCTTGTCCGGAAGAGTAAGGAAGCTCAAGATCTTGTCGAAGAAGCAAAGAATTTCCAGATGATGCCTGCACGACGACAAGATTTTAGCAGTCCCAGGACGACACCGCGGAAGTCTGCCGATACGGAAGAGGTTGTGTTTATCATAGGTGGTGCAACAGATCGTGCAAACGAGAATCAGACAAGTGTCTACTGTTATAGTTTTACTTGTGACGAGTGGTACAGTTTGACTAACCTGCCGTGTGACATCGGGAAAGGTTCCGCAGCGTGTGTGCACGGATCCAGCCTCTTTCTCACTGGGGGATCCAAAAATGTGAAAGTGATGTACCGATACGAGAAAAGTCGTTGGATAAAGGGAGAGGCCATGCCACACGGCCGGTGGCATCATGTCACTGTCGCCGTGGGCGACCGCTTGTACAATATCGGAGGAATGAAAGACTCGCTTGACTCAGAAAGTGATCTTGTGGCTTGTATAGATGAATACCACATCTCGGGGGAGAGATGGCATCAGGCCGGTACTCTCGCAGTCCCCGTACACCAAGCAGGAATGGCCGTCCTTCACGAAAAGATCTTCTGTTTCGGGGGGCTGGACAAAGATGGCAACTTCAGCAGTGCGATTCAGTACTTCGATGTGTCCAAGAAAACCGCTTGTCAGGTTGGTTACCTCCCCTCTCCTCTCAGTGAACACTTAAAGGCTGTGACTATCGATGATGATGTGTACGTCATATCCAGCCAATCAGAGGGCCTACAGCTGTTCAAACTGGACAATAGCAGCATGGACGTGTGTAATCTGGTACACGTCAACCTCATCCAGACTATCAACCTCCCTGAGCTCACTCACTTCAGTGTGTTTCAACACGAGGGCAACTTGTACTTAGTGGGGGGGTACGAGGAGGGAGAGGGGACAAGCACCAGTGATGATAACAGAACAATGTCGGATTCAATACATATCATCCGCTTTCCGGACTCAGCCAACGCTGGCTACACCCTTGACTCAATGCCGATGCCCTCAAAGAAGGCGGAAGTGGCACTGGCGAAGATGCATCTCAGTAAAAAATACCTCAAGAGTCGTATCAGTGTCACCCGGGACAAACAGATATAGACTGGGGCAGTGACTACCTACAAAATGGCAATCTATGTTGAACACTCATGTTTCGGTGTATCAAGTGCTACTTTGTCACCTTTTGTACAAGATGATCCAATAATAATGTCTATGTTTTATTGTTGTTTAAATAATGCATCCTCTATATCTCCAGGGCGGTGGGGTAGCCTAGTGGTTCAAGCGAAGCCGAAGACCTGGGTTCGATTCCCCACATGGGTACAATGTGTGAAGCTCATTTCTGGTGTCTCCCGCCGTAATATTGCTGGAATGTTGCTAAAAGCGGCGCAAAACCATACTCACTCAATCCAGGGCTCATATTTCGGTAAACCCACTACCCACAGACCCATCCCTGTGTTTCTTGCGATCTCAAATTACCCGCCCTTGATTTCCTTCAGCCAATATGATAGCTATACCACTAGGTCTAACGTACCAATCCAAATCAGTTACAAACCAACCTCAATGTTGAGTTGGCGATATCAACAACATAGCAGCCAATCACTGATTACGATAGTGGTTGTGAAATTCAACGTTGACAAACTGACTGGTACGCAAAAAATAGACCTAAAAAACATTTTTGAAGGAAAGGATGTCTTCATGTCAATCAAAACTGGCAGTGGCTTTGGTTTCTAGGCAATATGAGTTACCTCCCTTACCCATTTTCTTTTTCCTGATCTTGACGTTTGATTGGTGGGTAAAATGTTTATGACAATCAAGGGCAGGTAATTTGAGAACCACAGGGATGAGTCCAGGGGTTTGTGTAGGTTTACCGAACTGCAAGCTCGGAAGATACAGAGGATGTCAATTATTTAGCCGTATTAGTTTCTGTAACTTCCTAATTCACTAGTTTTAATTATGCACAGTTGGTTATAAAGAGTTGTTTTATAATATGTTTATAATAGTAATAATTTTAACACTGTAATAACAGTGTAGAGTTGCGTCCCTTGCTCATAGAAGGATCTGTTGATTGGGGTTTGAATCTAGGCTACCTTCATTCCGATCTTTGATTTGTAAGCACCATACCAAGCCCGAGAAACAAAGGTGGTCGACATCCAAGACCTACCCACTATCCCTTTGGACTTTCCATCACTCTCTCACTGTGACGTAACTGAAAATACTGTTCACAGTGAGTCAAAGCCGTCTCACGCGCCCACGACGTGGAGTGTTTGAAGTTATGAGGGTCCTGGGGTTGTTAAGGTTTGCTGATCTAGTATATTAGTCTGGGGAACCCTTAGCTCTTTGATTTATAGCATGAGTGAGTGTGTTTGGTTTTACACTGGTTTTAGCCATGTTAGCAATACTCCAGCTATATCTCAGCTTATCACTGTACCCATATCTGGGATGAAAAGATACATCAGTGCTCCGGTACATCGTGTTTTCATGTGTTTAAGTGTTTCAAGTTCCCTTCTAATAATAGCCCTACAAACATGTGTCTACAGCTAGCCTTTCCTTTTGAACCTGTTCTGAAATATTTATAGTCAAAAAGTTTCCACAAGATTTGACAAAAAAATGTGTATCACTATACGTATCGTATCGTGACGTTCCTGTATCGTATAATTGTCTTGGTTCACAGGCACCGCCCGCATCATTATAATGTACATCGCACATTTTTCATTTTTAAACAAAAAACAAATCCTTAAATATTCCAACTCCAGCGGTAGTCAAATACTGTATTCCAGTATGTTATTCATCAAGGAATACATTTTTGTAGGGAGGCCCTTTCACAGGTTGATTGGACACAACTGTTTATTTGGTTAGACAACTGTCTATTTGCAAATGCGCACGCGCGCACACACACACACACACACACATTTTACCACTGTTTACACAAGTGTTTATTTGCTGACATACACCACACTACCCACCCCCACCCCCTACCAGCCCGCACTATATTTTCAAAAGCCATTGTTTGAGAACCAATTCTTTTCTTTTTTTTAGCCTAAGATAAAAATTTGTAAATTAATCATTTTTAGATCAAAGCTTACCTGAAGATTGCAAAGAGGGGCTGAGGGGGAATATGGTGGAGATGAATAATTGTAAATATTTTAATAAAAGCTTACATTATAATTGTGAAGGGGTTCCAAGGGTGACAAGAGTAAAGATTGAAATTTGTAACATTGAAAATTTTAAAATCCGAGGTTAGTCTGCATCGTATCTCATTCAAATCAGATCTTAGTTCTCGCTATCGCTAAACAAAGATCTGAGGGCATCCCATTACGTGTCACGTCAGAACGACCTTTCATCCGACCAATCAAAGCGTCGCTTACCAGATCATGAATGTGTTTTCTGATTATGCAACCACGAAAACGTTAATATGGGGTATTCTGAACGACAGTTACGGCCGGTACGACTGATTCCGTCAAAATTAACTTTCACTTCTGTGCGATAGATGGTTGAACGGAGGAGGCGTTGCACAGTACATGGGAAGCACTGCCGTACAATCTCAACCATATATTAGACATTCCGGAATGTTTGTTTGTTCAGTTTTCAAAATTTTAATCGAGAACTGTGTCAACATATTTTTCAAGTGTAGTCTGAAATGGAAGTCGCAAGGTTGAGAAAGCTGCTTTCTAATTGGTTGATGTCGACTTCTTGTTAGTCATTTCGGTGGTCGGTCAAATTGGTTGATGTCGACTTCTTGTTAGCTATTTCAGTGGTCGGTCAAAGTTTGCGAAATGTCGTTCTGACATGAACCGTAATGGGATGTCCTCAGATCTTTGTTTAGCGGCAGCAAGAACTTAGATCGGATTCTAATGAGATTGGTCTGCGTCTTAGGGGAATCCAAGGGTTACTGCAGGAAGATGGAACATTGTAAAACAAATCCCAGCAGTGGATGCAGACATTCATGTTTTCTGTCAGATACCTCAGGACCATGAAGCTAAATGTTGACATGGTTGGTCCTAGCAATGGTGTCTTAAGCCGATTAGATTAAAATAGGGATGTCGCCATACAAGTGTCACACGATACGCTACTTTTCTCAATACGGAAGCCACAATACGATATGTATCTTGATACTGCATGTATGACAGTTTGTGTGGAAAACCCAGTCATTTGACTGGGAAAAGAGTCCATAGGCTCATTCATAAAGGTCAAGGACACCTGACTAATATCAGTCGACATGACACTGAGTCAAGTCAAGTATTCTTTATGAGAGAAAAATAAGAAACAAACAAGCTTACGTACTGTATTATGACAGGCAGCAAGGAAAAGCTTTCACCCGGTTATCATAGCGGTTTTATTTCCAAAAGATGACCAAGAAAGTTATGAGGAATTAGAAAAATGTTTGTACTTGCTCATTGATATCAGGGGGGCATGGGTGGCCCAGTCGTCTAAGGCGCCGCGATTCGCTGTGCAGAGTTACGTCCCTTGGGCACGCCAGAAACCTATGATTGTGGGTTCGAATCCCGGTTCGCCCCGATTATGTTTCTAGGTTTGTCAGCACCATACCCGTGCTGGTGGATTTCACCGAAGTGGTAAACGTCTGAAACCTGCATCACTTCGGGCTTTCCTCCCACATTAAGCTGACACGCCGTGATATAACTGGAATACTGTTAAAAGCGGCGTTAAACCCAACTCACTCATTGATGTCGATGCCAGATCAACGTGGACAATCAGTATGGAGTTCAATGTGAATCGATACCAACTTGAATGAATCAGGTATCGTATCGTGCAGTTTGCCGACGATGCACCGGTGTACCGTGAATCATGACATCACTAGATTACAAACATGGAACCATTTTGAAATACCGTATTCGACGTAATAAGCGCCAACGGCGATATTTGCGAATATATTGGCTAGTGAACAATCCCTATTAGCACCCCTTCCGATTGATCAATGTTCACAAGACTTATTTATTCGCGTATGATACGCACTCGTGTGTTATATGCAACCTTAATTATGGGCAATTAAATTCTGGAAAAATATATCTGTCGTACATGAACACGAAATTTATCTTTCAACTCTGTTTTCTTTTCACCAAAATAATATTTTAATAAGAGCCCCCTATTTCTAATTTTGAGAGCGCCCTGGGCGCTTATTACGTCGAATACGGTAGTCCTTCTTTCCCACTGCTCACCTGCATGTAGCCTTAGAAAGTTTGATCTTATGTTTTTGTGCATATTTTAATTTTTGATCCTGCTATGAACTGACGTGGCTTCTTATATGCTCAAGATTTTTTTTATCCAGTTATATTAATTTTAGTTTTAAGTTGTTTTGAATTTTATCTTTAATGTTGCAAATATTAAAAAGATCCTAGTGATCTACAGCACCTCATGGCTGTATATTTCTAAGCCTCTGACAGGCCTGTTATCCATTGTTAAGACAGAAAATCAGATGTGGTATTATTTGATTGAGGCCCTTTCCTTACAGATAGGTCAACAAACCACATTAATGAATGCTATGCCTTTAAGAAAGTGGTCAAATGTAATGTGTATTATATTTGGGATTACGCTTTCTAAGTAAAGTGCAATTTCTAGTATGTTTGGGGGTTGAGTCCCATCCAGGATTCGAACCCACTTTCAGAGCAAGGAACCTCATTGTCAGCACAAAGTCATCATCCTAACCCACTCAGCCACCAAGGCTAGTGATAAGGTGGCTCACTATAAAAGTGAGGGTTTGAATCCGAGATTGGACTGTACCCAAAAAAAAGTACTAGAAATTGCACTTCACTGAGAAAGCACATTCCTATATATACGTTTCAAACGACATTTCAGCTCAACATTCTTTTCTTTGATATAAAATTTGAGGATATATTTTTATGGCCATAGAAGCTTGACTTAAGGGGTGGCTTAGTGGCCTTGTAATGGAAGCATTTGCTCGTCACACCGAAGGCCCTGGTTCAAACCCCCAAAAGGATACAATGTGTGGAGCCAATTTCTGGTGTCCCCCTGCCATATTGCGGGAATATTGCTGAAAGTGCCCCAAATCATTCATTCACTCTCTCAGTCACTCTTTAACTGAAAAAGCATTGACATCCCTTTTGTTTTTGTGCCATGTAGACATTGACCTTGAGACATTTCCGAATCTACAAGTCATCAATATATACCGTATTCGACGTAATTAGCGCCCTAGTCTAATAAGCACCCAGGGCGATATTTACTAATATATTGGCTTGTGAACAATCCCAATTAGCACCCCTTCCAACTGATCAATGTACACAAGACTTATTTATTCGCGTATAATACACACTCGTGTGTTATATGCACCCTTAATTATGGGCAATTAAATTCTGGAAAAATATGTCTGTCATATACAAACATTTCAGGCTGTCAGCATAAACCACGAAATTTACCTTTGAACTCTTCTTTTTTCACCAAAATAATATTCTAATAAGAGCCCCCTATTTCTAATTTTGAGAGTGCCCCGGGCGCTTATTATGTCGAATACGGTACTACTCAAAAGAAGTTAAAGAACTGTAACTGTGTTCTAATACCCACCAGCCATGACAGATCAAGTAGTCATGAAAATATCAGGTGTCCTTTAACTTCTTTTGCGAAGTATATATCCTAGTGTCATTAAGAAAGATCTCTAGAGTCACCTTAAGTTTTGAGCAACCAGTTGTTTCACGTTACTGCAATAGTTTTTCTTTGTGAATAAATGTTTATATCTGTGATCAGTATAGTAGCATATATATTCAAAATAACAATGAAGGACTCATCATGTTAATAAAACTCTTGTACATATTACTTATATTGTGGCTATTTATATCGATGACAACATTCGACTCTTCCCTTCAAGAGGGGCATGGATGGCCCAGCGGTCTAGGTTACACACAACCAAATGTTTTCCAATAGACTTCTAATGTGATGTTATATATATTTTTTTAAATGACTAAGCATTCAACAGCTATTACATGTACAGTTTGGTCTTAAAGCAGCAATAAAAACAAAAAATTACTAGCTTAGCCAGCTCCTTTTCTGAGTACAGGAAGCTAAACACACTACCCCCAGTTCCGCACCAAATGTCACTTGCTTGACAATGTCTGTGGTCACATTCAGCATAAGTCGTCATGTTGAAAGACACAGCACTAAATATGGATAAACATGGTCAGTTTTAATTACTGGATGAATGTACATTTAAAAAACATAAAAATCTTAGACAAAATCATCCAATCACAGCTGCCAGATGATTCAATCTGCACTGAAAGCTCTACGAAAACTGCTGGTCGAACGACTGACTCTGATCTGATTCACTGTGCAGAGTTGCATTCCTAGGGCACGCTAGAAACCTATTGTTTGTGGTTCGCCACAATTATAATTCTAGGTTGGTCAGCACCCATGCTCGTGGGTTTCACCAAAGTGGTAAGTCATACTTGACTGTGACTCATGCTTGACTGTGACCCATGCTTGACTGTGACCCATTCTTGACTGACCCATTCTTGACTGACCCATGCTTGACTGTGACCCATGCTTGACTAGGACCCAATCTTGACTGTGACCCATGCTTGACTGTGACATGCTTGACGGTGACACATGCTTGAATGTGACCCATGCTTGACTGTGACCCAAGTTTGACAATGACCCATGTTTGACTGTGACCCATGCTTGACTATGACTCATGCTTGACTGTATCCCATGTTGGACTGTGACTCATGCTTGACTGTGACCCATGCTTGACTATGACTCATGCTTGACTGTGACTCATGCTTGACTGTGACCCATGCTTGACTGTGACTCATGCTTGACGGTGACCCATGCTTGACTGTGACCCATGCTTGACTGTGACTCATGCTTGACTGTGACTCATGCTTGACTGTGACCCATGCTTGACTGTGACCCATGCTTTACTATGACTCATGCTTGACTGTGACCCATGCTTGATGTTGACTCATGCTTGACTGTGACCCATGCTTGATGGTGACCCATGCTTGACTGACCCATGCTTGACTG